GAAGGGCCTTTGCCACACGCACCACGGAAGGAGAAGGTAAGAAACAGGACTTACCTGGTCCGGAGTGCTGAGGCCGAATTGGAGGAGGGCTGGAGAGGTCGCTGGAGGGAGGGGGTCGCTAGGGGGGGCTAGCGACCCTCCGTCCCGGGTTTCGGCACCAAATGTGCGACCCCGACATGATCCCCTGCCCGGTACCCGATCCCAAGTAACAGCTCGAGTGAGAGTTGGAAGCCGAGTTCAGGTTTATTGGGACCAGCGGGCAGGCCAGGAAAGGAAGGAGATCGGGGGCTGGCTGTGACTGCGCAGCTGGGGTAGGAGGGTTTTATAGGGGGGGTGGACAGGGCGTGGATACAGGGCTGGCTGAGTGTCGTAGGAGCTTAGGATAGGCTGTCCATTTCTGGGCGGACTGCTGAGGTAGCTCAGAGGGTTATGTGTCGGTTCAGGATAGGCCGAGGCTTGGCGGGCTTTCCTGCTGCGATGATTGGCTGCTTGTTGTTGCTAGGCAGAACAGAGCAGGCTTGGCGGGCTTTTCTCAGGGCAGCAAGAAGCCTGGGGGGAGGGTGGGGGCAAGAAACCTGGGGGAAAGATGGCGGGACGTTCTACCGAACATATAGGGGAGTGTTCTAAGCTCTGGGGGACTCATATCGATGGATACTAGAAAGACAAGGAGAGGGTACAGACAAATCATAAAGAGGAAACTCTGTAACAAGGTGGGAACGAAGAGCATGAGCTGATGGGGGAAGACAAGAGCGCTAGACGGGTGCGGGGTCAAGCGATTTGTTGGTCACATGGCAATGTTGCTGGTTATATATGGGCAGTTTAGCAGGAGTAACTTCTAACAATTCTTTGAGTCTAATATAGGATGCAATCCAATTTCTATTAAATTGAGGAGTATTTCTGGGTAGAGTTTCAAGGCCGCTATAAGCAAAGGAACGGCGAATGCCTAAATTGAAGCAATAGGAGGGTGAAGGCTGAGCAGTAGTTACAGGTGTGTAATGTAGATCTTCTATGTAAAAGGGCATAGAGTACAGCTTGGCAGCATGGAAACACATAGGAGGAGAAATGGATTGACTAAAGAAGGTATAGTTTGCTGATTGAGGATAGATATGAGCGGCTGAAGGAGTGCCAAATATTGAGGTGTCATTAAGGAAGACAGTAAAGGTAGGATCATGCCAAGTAACAGGATGGAGTAAAGGAGGATCAGGAACATAGGCCTAAAAGGCGTCAGGAGAATCATAAGTAGGCACAGTGTGTGCCGGCATAGAATCACAAGATAAAATGGCTAGCATGGCTAAAAATAGAGCAACTGTATTAAGAGAATGTCTTTGCTGATGAACAATGTGTGACGCATCAGACACTAGGTGTCGCATCTGGGTCCAGGTCGGGACTGGAACCTTTTGAGGAGGTGTCGGCTGGTGCCGCTGGCGATGGACACGGCGGGATGTCGTCTTCCGGCGGGATGTCATCCTCTGTAGGCGTAGACGTCGGATTCTCAGGGGAAGGGAGTTCGGTGAAGTCATCTGAGGGCTCGGCTGATGAGGAGATGTCAGTGAAGGAAGAGGGATGGTCACTGGCCTCGGAGAGGACTGTCTTCTTTGGGGCATGCTTGACGTGTCACTCGGGCACCCAGATAGGTGAGGGGGCAGACCTAGGAAAAACACAAACGTGACTTCTGCCCCAAACTAATACAGGGTCAGGGCCATTCCATTGATTAGAAAAAAAATCTCTCCATAACACCGTAGGCGTGGCTGAGCTTTTTGGGTGCCAGAAACGATCAGCTGCTGAGTGACTTTCTGCATCAAGGGTTAAAAAATTTAGAACATAAAGAGCATGTCGAAGTACATCATGTGGAGACTTGTAAAAGGAAGGAGGTGAATTATTTAGTTTAAGTAATAAAGTTTTAAGGGTGGCGTGAGCACGTTCAACAATTTCCTGTCCCTGAGGATTATAGGGGATTCCTGTCTTATGAATCATCTGAAATTGAGAACAAAAGGTTTGGAATGAAGAGCTGGTGGAAGCTGGAGCATTATCAGTCTTCCAAATGTTTGGTGCACCTAGGCTGGAGAACACGAGTAGATAATGAGCAGTCACGTCCTTGACTGCCTCTCCTGTATGGGCTGAAGCTATTATGAAATGAGAAAAAGTGTCAATAGTTACATGCACATATTTTAAATGACTAAAAGAAGCAATATGGGTGACATCTATCTGAAAGATGTGGCTAGGTTGTAGACCACGAGGGTTTACTCCGGTATGTGTGGGTTGAGGTAAGTGAGTCACACAAGCAGGGCACTGCTTAACAATGGCATGAGCCTGTTCTCTGGTGATCTGAAACTGCAGTCGCAGGCTACAGGAGCCCTGGTGGTGCAGGGCATGGGACATCTCAGCCTGTCTTAGAGGAGAAAGGGCAGAAGCGATCACTGGGCATGTGAGAGCATCAGCATGCCTGTTGCCTGCAGAGAGAGGACCAGGTAAATCAGTATGTGCACGAATGTGACCAATAAAGAATTGATGAGTCCGCTTGTGGATAGTCTGCTGTAAAGGAAGAAGTAGGTGTATTATAGCAGAACCGTCAGAAAATGACAAGGGGGCTGTCTCTAGCAGATTGATCAGGTTAACTACATATTGACTGTCAGAGTATATATTAACTGATTGACCACAGGTGGAGAGCACATGTTGGACAGCAAGCAATTCTACCTTTTGGGTGGAAGTTTCAGGTGTCTGGAAAGAAAAGGGAACATCATCAATTTGTCCAGTGGCAAGTCCGTTTGAGGAACCGTCTGTGAATGCCAAAGTGGCCTGAGAAATCAGCTGCAAAGAACATGTCTTGGGGAAAATAAGATTACATCTGGAATAAAAATGCAGTATTTTGTCTTTGGGATAGTGGCAGGAAAGCTCCCTGTGAAATTTGCAAGAGCTAATTGCCATGAGTCAGAAAATGACCACAACCAAGATTGTCCTTGGGTGGTGTAATGAACAATCACAATAGGTGGGTCAGAGCTAAAGAGAGTGAGTGCCCTGAGGCGGCCTTTGGCAATTAGCATAGATACTAAATCGTGATAAGGAGTGGCAATACGAGGCTGACTGGCAGACAGATGGAGCCACTCTAAGATTCTTTTTTGCCAGAAAAGACCTGTGGGTGTGTAAGAGGTGCATAAAATGCATAAACACCAAGACACTCCAGTAGTGACACGGTTTAGTTTTTGTTCTGATAGAGCATCTTGCACCAATTGCAAGGCATGTCTAGCTTCATTAGTAAGTGTCCGGGGAGACTTTGGGTCTGTGGGACCTCTGAGCATATCAAAAAGAGGCTTAAGCTGACCAGTAGTTAATTTAAGACTAGGCCTGATCTAGTTAATGTCTCCCAAAAACTTTTGGAAATTATTCAGCATACTGAGATGGGCAGTAGATACGACAGGAGTCTTATAGGATACTTGATTGGAGTCAATGAGGCGACCCAAATAATGGAAAGGAGTTACCTTTTGGACTTTGTCAGGAGATATAACTAAATTTGAATTTGTAAGGAGGTCGCTTAAATCCCGAAAGGCTTCTTGTAGAAGGCCGGGGGAGGGAGCGGCTAAAAGGAGATCATCCATATAATGTAACAAAAGGACATCCAGATAGCGCTCACGGACGGGTGCAATTATCTGAGCAACAAATTTCTGACACAAGGTGGGGCTGTTCGCCATACCTTGAGGAAGAACCGTCCACTCATAGCGCTCAAAAGGCCTGTCAAAATTGGTTGCAGGAACACTGAAGGCAAACCTGCAGCAATCTTGAGGTGCCAAGGGGAAGGAAAAGAAGCAATCTTTCAAATCAATGACTAGTAATTCCCAATTTTGAGGAACAACAACAGGCTAAGGGAGACCAGGTTGCAGTGGTCTCATGACTTCCATAATTTCATTCACTTTCCTAAGGTCTTGTAAAAGTCTCCATTTACTAGATTTCTTTCTAATGACAAAAATAGGAGTATTCCATGGGCTATTAGAATGCCTTAAATGACCAGCTGCAAGCTGTTCCTGGACCAGCTCTCTAGCTGCAGCAATCTTTTCAGCAGGCAGGGGCCACTGGTCTACCCACACAGGAGAATCAGAAAGCCAAGTGATGGAATCAGCGTGGGTGCCAGGAGTCACAGCGACCCGTTGGAAAAAACCCCTAACCCTGAACGATCATTTTTAGGAACAACTTCTAAGGGCATAGGGTCACCTTGTAAATTTCTACCAAGACCTTTAGAAGGATGGAAGCCTTGTTTCATCATGATATCTAGCGCAGGGCTAGAAGTAACTAAATGAGCATTCATAGACTGTAAAATATCACGACCCCACAAATTTATGGGAATGTTGGGTAAAACATATGGACGGAAAGAGCCACTATGGCCTTCTTCATCTGACCAAGATAGCAACTGGGAAGACTGGTAAGGGTCAGAAGAAGTGCCTATACCCTGTAGAAACATATAAGCCTGAGTGACAGGCCATGTAGGGGGCCAGAACTCTGAGGAGATTACAGAAACATCTGCTCCAGTGTCTAAAAGGCCCCTAAATTTCTTTCCATTAATGGTAATAATTATTTCTGGTCGTGATGCCGAAATGGCTTGTACCCAGCACAGGTAAGAAGGATCTTTCTTGTCCCAGGGAGGGGACGTATCTGAGATAGTGCTCCTTCTGTGAGGCACAAGCAGAAGCTGCGCAAAGGGAGAGCCTGGCTGTAATGTAACTACCCTTCTGGAAGTAGAAGCTAACACAGTCAGCTCTCTAGAGAAACTTTGATCAACAGTAGTGGGCACAATATGTGGAATTGCCTTACGTCCTAACAAAAGGCCTATATATCCATCTGGTAATGGGCCAAAAATACCTGTTTGGACTGGAACCACACCGGAATCAGGCGTTAATAGGATCTCGGTGGTGGGACAGAGGTCAAGTCCTGAGCAGTAGGTTGAGAGAGAGGAAGAGCCTCGATTGGTTGCGGGGGTCGAGGCGACCCCCTCTGGGAGTTTCCCGAACGAGGGAGAAGAGAATTTCCTTGAGCATCCCTCTTAGATCTGCACTCGTTTGCCCAATGGTTGCCACGGTGGCACCGAAGACACTCACTAGGCTGTCGAGGCCTTTGCTGCGTGGCAGGGAAAGACGGCGCAGGCTGGGGGGAAGCAATACCAACAGGGTGAGGGCAGTTTTTAGCAATGTTACCAGACTGTCCGCATCGAAAGCACTTTATAGATGGCCTACGATTTTGCTGTTGTTGCTGCCTTAAAAAGGCTGACACGGAAAGTCCCTTTTGAGCTGCTGCCATGGCTAAACCTTGTTGATACGCTGGCCCAACATCTGCACATTGCCAGATGTATTCTTCAAGGGAAGCTTTTCTCCAAGGAAGGAGAATGGACTGGCAAGTAGTATTAGCATTTTCATAGGCCAATGGTTTTGTAAATAATTGAGCTGACTGGCTATCTCCAAATTGCCGTTTGACTGCCTACATTAATCGAGAGACAAAATTTTGGTAGGATTCCTCATTTCCCTGTTTAATTTTGGTAATTTCATCAGTAAATTCTCCATGAGTGGGAAGCTTTCTCCAGGCATGCAAAGCTAAAGCATTTATTTGCCCAAATGCCGCTTCTGGGAGGGCAACTTGTGCCTGAACACTTTCATAATCACCTGTACCTTTTAACATTTGTAAATTAACACCCACTCTTTGTCTCTCATTCTTTTCCACCAACTCGAAAGCGGCATTATCATAATAAGCTTTCCACAATAAGTAGTCACCGCCTGAAAGGCAGGCATTGGAGATGCGATGCCAGTCTGCAGGGGTCATGGCTTGAGTACCAAAATTTTCGAGTAAAGAGAGAGTATAAGGTGCAGTGGGTCTGTAATTAGTCACTGCCTCCTTGAAATCTTTCATGAATTTTGGTGGAATAGGTTCATAATGGCGAACAATCTCGCCATTTTGATTGGTCACCTCTATAACAGGACAGACGAGGTGGAGGTCAGAATCGGGAAATCCCTGTTTCATAGACTCAAAGGCATAACTAGTTGCAAGGATAGGTTCTCGTGGCGTAGAGCACACCACAGGCTTAGAGGAAAGTGTAGTAACAGCAGGGAAAGCTTGAGTAGGTTTGGAAAGCGAAGCTAGAAGCCTGGATAATTCCTTGAGGGTAAGAATTGAGGGCACAGCTGAAGCCCTTACCTGCGTGCTCTCTGAAGCGCCGATTTCCGCTCTGGCTCCGATCTGTTTGTCCAGAGCTCCCCCATTTCTGGCTTCAGGTCCGACTCCAAGAGTGGAATCGGGCTCGTTTAGAGGATTGCAAGGTTGTAAATTACTGCCGCCCCCTCCACCATCAGGGTTAGATTTGCAAGAGAAAGAAGAGGAATTAGAAGCAAGAGAAACACTAGGGGAGCAGTGAGGCAGGCAGACAGCCTGGTGCAGCTGAGGCCAGACCGAGAAAAGCAATTCTGCGTGCGGGGAAAATTGATGAGCGGCGGCATATTCCTCAATCTTAGTTCCTATTTTACTCCACGTCGATTCATCTAACGATCCCTCCTCAGGGACCCACGGGCACAATACATAAACAATCTCTAAAAACTTAGAAACATGTTTCTTTTTTACATCAACACCTCTATTTCTTAATATTTGATGTAATAATTTCGTGAACATTAACTTATTTTTGGACTCAGACTGCCCCATTTTACTCCAGATGAATTTTGAGCCCAGAACTACAAGAACCACGGCTTTACCTTGTCTCCTTTGATTTGGGGTGCGTCACTGTACCTCTCGTACTCAGGTCCCTGTTCGGGCGCCAGATGTCGGGATCCAGCACGTCTGCTGGGGGACTACCGACCTGCGGGAGTCCCCGAGACCGCCAACGTAGATGTCTTTTTCAACCTGAGAGAGAGAGTGCTCAGAAAAGAAAGAATATAGAAAAGTAGAGTCTGGAGGGCTGCGTGAAGATTATGGCCAAAACGCAGCAAATTTATTTTTGTGGGTTACAGCTTTTGTACCTTTTTTCTTGTTTACATTTACCTTATCTCAGCAGAAAGAAAGGGGTTGACAGAAAGGAAATAGAAACTCTATAAAAAATAGTTATCAGGGGCTTGTGATATTCGCACAGAAGGCAGTTTAGGGGAGGTAGTGGTAGTAGTTTACATTTCAAAGATTTTACATTTCAAAGATACAATGGCGCCCTTAAGGTGGCTGGTTAAACCTGTTTTTCACTAGGAGCTAAAACAAAGGCTTGGCTCCAGGGAAAATATGGGCAGAGGTCTCTGCTCCTCTTAGGCATCTCAATTGCAGCAAGTTTATTGCTTACACAGAGACTGAAGGGGGACATGGAAGCAGACAGCACAATGTCCTCATAAACTGCAGGCCTTTGCTTTGCATTCTGTTGTTGCTTTTAGTGAGTCAGCTCACGGCTCTGTCTCATTCGACAGCCTTCGAAGTGGGGAAATGCAGTACAGGTCCAGCAGCCAAACTGGGGCGAGTCAACTAGCTGTCCTGAGCCCTTGGTGCGAACACCACATCTAGCAGTCTCGGGGACTCCCGCAAGTCAGTAGTCCCCTGGCAGATGTGCCAGACCCCGACACCCCAGGGCCAGGCATGGTGTCTCATGCCTGTAATCCTAGCACTTTGGGAGGCCAAGATGGGAGGATTTCTTGAGGCCAAGAGTTCAAGACCAGCCTGGTCAACAGAGCAAAACTCTGTCTCCAAAAAATACAAATAAATAAAAAGAAGAAGAAATGACCAAGGGAGCTGGCCAGGGAAAAACTTATACTTAAGATTCAGCAAAACATGATAACCTGCAATTCCACAGTCAGGTTTCTGTCCCAGAAAAGCAAAATCACAGGTGCACAAGAAAGTGTATGAAGGGTGTTCACAGCAGCATTGTCTGTCTTGGTGAAACGCTGGGTCAGGGAGGAGCAGGCAAATAAACCATTAAATATCCACATTGTGCAATAGTTACAAATTAAGTAGATCAAAGGTATCAACACAGACAGAGCTGCAGAACATGCAGTGGATGAGAAAAGCAATTTGTAGTGCAATGATAATGTATAATACTACTTATGAAGAAAGAAGAAAAGACAAATGCTGTCACATATATATTTTAAATGATGTATGTGTAGGCATAGAGAAAATTCTGGAAGGCTAAACCCATGCTAATTGTGCTAACGAGGAGGATTTGGGGCAAACATGGAGAGCAGAAAGGGTTAAATGGGATTTTAGCATAGTTGTCAGGTTTTAATTTTACAAGAAGAATATAATAATCCATTACTTATGTGAATAAAAATTCTCAAACTATTTTTTAAAAAGATTCAATGGGAAGAAGAAACAATGGAATAGACAGGAATATATTCCAAGACTCTAGCTAGGACACTGTTACTGAAAACACTGAGAGAAGTTTCTGGAATGCAAGGTGCAGGAAGGACCCGCTGTACTCAGCAATGCTGTAGAGACAGCAGCCACCAGGATGAGTCCTGTGAGCTCCACTGCTTGTCAACACCTTTCACTTACAGCCATTAACTTCTGTGTCCTTGAAAGGTCATCATGTCCCACCACTGTTCTTGAATGAGATGGAGATGTTCTGTTCTTTTTTGACTTGTAAACATCCTAAAGCATTTCATCAGTTTCTCGTATTTAGGCATTCCCTTCCAGAAATTCCACAGTGATGCTCTCAGTGTTCTCTTTCCAATCCTTCAAGCTGCGTATGAAATCTACTTCTTTCCAGTCCAGCTCCAGCAAATATCTGCCTTCTCTCTTGTTCTGCATTCAAAAAACTTTCAATTTGAGGTCATTTTTAAGAGCATTACTGTGATGGTGGTGGTGCTGGTGGTGGTGCTTATGGAATGTCTCATGGGACACACAGCATGGATGTGGCAAACACTGATTGAGCACACAAAGGTGTAAGGCACTGTGCTAACTTCACAGGAATTATCTCAGTTCATCCTTTCAGCAACCCCAGTAGGTCAGTACTATTACAACCTGCATTTCACAGCTGGGACTCGGTGTGGCTGAGTGACCTAAGGTGGTAAGTGGCGGTAAGCTTGTGGTGGGTGACTCTGTGTTTGTCTATGTGAGTTTGTCCTAAGTGATCGATAGGGGTGGGAACTGGACTAGGAACAATGTCTCAGGTATGCAGGAGGGTTCAGTTTACCAAATGCCTTTATGACCATTCATTCATTTGATGTCACCACAGTGCTTTAATGACAGGGGTCATAAGGGAAAATAATGAGATGAGTCAAGCTTTGTAATTCCCTTAAAGTGGTCAAGTCTGGGTTAAGGGCTTTTAGGGTGCATTAACTCACTATGTGGTCTTGAGCAACTCTGCGAGGAGGGAGAGCAGAGAGGGCCCCCTTCGGCCCAGCTCTCTAAGGATCATCAAGTTCTTAGCAGCCACTCCTCCTGGTCTGGAAATTCTTGGCCAGGCACCCTCCTGTTCTCCAAACCCAGCCATTCCAGGTAAACCCTTAAGTGGCAGAGGAGCCAGGTTCCTGGGGTTAATAACCAGGCTGTTTATAACCAGCAGCAGTCATGGGACAGGAAGCAGCCAGCTGGAAAGTCACGCTCCTTCTGAATGTTGAGGTTTCTCATAAACATTTCCCCACTGAGCCTTCTGGGGATGAGGATGACTCTGGGCCCATTGCCCTTGCTGGGGCAGAGCACCAAGGCTCCATACTCACTTTCTTCTCCTTTCTCCCAAATCTGGCTCTCTTCCACTTTCCTACTTCCTCTCCTGCTCTGCTGTCATTCCTTCCCTTTCTTCAGTGGAAAGAGGATACATTTCACAGTAGACACACCTGATAACTCATCCCTCTGAGCCTCAGTTTCTTCCTTCGTAAAATGGGGTAATAAAGGACTTCATCTCAGGATGTATGGGAAAGTGCCTTGCACTGTGTTAGGCACACACAGTGGACATTTAAAACATATTGGTCATCCCTTTCCCACTCCACCCTATCCTTTTGCCCTAATCCAGGCCACTGCCCTGTTTTCTTTCTAATTTCCTGCTCCAGCCCTGCTCCTGTCATCACCCTAGGAACATCCACACCATTGACTGTGCTGCTGCTGCCTGGGAGGGTGGATGAAGAAGCCAGGCTTAATTCAGAAGAGGGCTGATCACTGTGGGGCCTGCCTGGCCTTGGCACTTCCCCACAAGACCACACCCAAGGCCTCTCTGCTTTTAGTAAATAGCCCATGGGAACTGGGGTGGAGGGAGGATGTAGAATGGGAGAGGCCAAGATATTTTAACCTTTGGTTTATATTTACCCTTAATCTGGCTCTTCCAGTGGCTTACTGGTCAGAGATCATTGTGTAAATTGCTGTGTGACTTTGGGCAAGTTGCCTTCACTCTCTGGGCTTCAGCAAGTGTGGGAAGGAAGCGAAGAGTAGAAGTTGAGTAAAAGTGCAGGTCCTGGAACCAGACTGTTTGAGATGAAACTCCATCTCCACCACTTATGAGCTTGGATTACATAACTTCTCTGTGTCTCAGTTTCCTCAACTATAAAATGGAATTTATAGTATACCTAATTTATACAAGCACTTTTATAAATAGTATACCTAATTTATACAGGCACTTTTAAAAGCACTTAGAATAGAGCCTAGCCCATAGTTGGTTCTAAGTTAATCTCAGCTATTATATGCAAATGGAGAGGTAGAACAGGGGTGTGTGTGCATGAGGGGAGAGCTGGACATTCTCCGAGGGTATTCTAAAGTCCTAAAAACTCACATTTCTCCTTTTTTGATAAGAACAGGACAGAATCTTGAACACAAAGTACTTCCTTCTCTCAGGGAGACCATAGAAACTTGTCAAAGACTTTCAAAGCCAGATGGACCCCTTAGGTAGAGGTCATCTGGTGCAACTTGTCATGGTACAGTAAGAACAGGGTGGACCAGAGAGATTCGGACTTATCTGGGACCATAGAGCTTTTGACGAGTTACAGAATTGCAGGTGGTACATTGCAAGGAAGGGAGGTACTTTAAGGGGACAGTGGGATGAGCTGCCAGGGGGCTGGTGGGATGCTGGAGGTCAGATTCCCAGGCTCCATGACCTCCCCAGGATTCTTAGTTCAGGTACCTACCCCATGACTAAAGTACTGAGGTCACCACTGGCATCTTTAATAATTATAATCATGTAATGAGGAGGGACTATATCCCAAGCACTGCACCCGAAGCCTTCACATGCATTACTTAGTCCACATAAAATCCCCTTGACAGATGAGGAAACATGCCTTGCCCAAACTGCAACAATTAGAAAGGGACAGAGCTGGGATTTAAATCCAGGTTTCTCTGATGCCAAAACCAGGGTTCTCATGTAACATGCTTTTCATGTTTCCCAGAGCATAGTTTGAGCCCACAACCTCAATAAATAAGGAACTTGTACTTGTCTGACTGAGCTGGCCAAGCAGATCTTGAATTTGTCTGACTGGCCTGGCCAAGCACATAACACTAATGAATCAGCTGGGTCCCAGTCACCTTTCCAGTTTCTTTCTTTTTTTTTTTTTTTTTTTTGAGATGGAGTCTCACTCTGTCACCAGGCTGGAGTGCAGTAGCACGATCTTGGCTCACTGCACTGCAACCACTGCCTCCTGGATTCAAGCAATTCTCCTGCCTCAGCCTCCAGAGTAGCTGGGATTACAGGTGTGCACCACCATGCCCAGGTAATGTTTTTTGTATTTTTAGTAGAGACGGGGTCTCACTGTGTTAGCCTGGGTGATCTCAATCTCCTGACCTTATGATCCGTCTGCCTCGGCCTCCCAAAGTGCTGGGATTACAGCCATGAGCCACCACACCCGGCATACCTTCCCAGTTCTTTCCACCCTGGCCTACAAGCCACAGTGAGAGACCAGGCCCTGTGTAGGAGAGCTTTCTTCCAGGAACCCTGCCTCTATGCTCTGTTCCCACTGTCGATGGGAGAGGCAGCAGCTGCTTTTGGAACAGGCAGGGGAGGAAGGCTTAGAGCCTGGGGTGACACTTGCGGCTGCTGGTCCTGACCTGCCTAGGCTTCAGCCAGGGCCCTGACTTGAATGGGAGGAGCAGGAACAAATGGAAAGTGGTAGGAGAAGCAAGAAACCAGGTAAGGTGAAAAAGAATGTTTCCCTTCCCAAAATATGAAGTTTATAGTTGTGAATTTGTCAACTTAATATAGTGTAAGAAGCATAGGGTTTAATACAGCCTTCCTCCCCATGAGGGCAGGAACCACATCTGTTGTATTCACTACCATATGCTTAGTGCCCCACCCAAGGCCTGCCTAGAGTCAGTGCTCAATAAATAAATACGTGGAAAATGAATGAAAAAAAAAAAAAGGATGGATATAAGGAAGAGCACTGAAACCTGAGTCAGAAAACCTACATTGCAGTTTTTAGCTTCATGGTTCACTGCAACAGTGGGAAAGTCACTTTGGCTCTGTCAGCTTCAGCTTCCACATGTGTAAAATAGATGCCATGGCAATTCCTACTACACAGGGCTCGAAATCACAGAGTTCAGTAGCAGAAATATTTCCGTAAACACTGAATGTCAAGCTGAAAATTGTATTTCTTCAGGGTGAGGCTGGCTTTAGCAATCTATGTAAGAAGTCTTGCTGAACCAAGGCCAGGGGAAGGCCAGAGGTATTGTTCTAAGAATGGGGATTAAACCTGAGAGAGACTATAAATCTGCTTAGAGAACTGCAGCATTAGGAGGGTACAATGGACCAGACAGGCATGACAGATGCTGTCTGCCCTGGAGAGTCTACAGCTCTGCTCATGCAAGGTGTCAGTATCAGCAGGAGCACAGATAGGCTTAAATCAGAAGATGTTACAGATTATCTAGTCCACACTGGACAATAGCCGGGTGAGGGGGTTAAAGGCTGAGAGACAAAGACCCAGATAGAATAGATGAGTCCCAGTTCAGTGCTACTCCTCCCACACCATAATCAAAAGGGAGGGCGTGTGAGGGGGAATTTGAAGAGAAACAGATTGGACCAAGGGAAGAATGCTTCCCTGTACCAACAGCTTAAAGGGGGGCTTCAAAATAGAAGATATCTTGTTAAAGAAGGGGGAACAAGAGGTGGAAATGGTTAAAAATAATGTCTTAACATCTATGTGACTTATGTTTCCAACTATGTCATGTAAGGTTATTGCATCTGAGGTGCTATGGTGGAGAGTTACTGATGGGGCATCAGAAAGCCCATTTTCATTACCCCACCCTGCCACGTACAAGCTCTGTGACCTCAGGCAAAATGTCTCTCTGATCCTCCAATTTTCAAGTGAAGTGTGAGGCAATAGTTCCTACCCCATAGACTGATCCTGGGGACCAGATTAGGAAAGGGGTGTGGGGAGAGGCTGTATCCTTTGTAAAATGCTCTCAGTGGGCAACATGGCGAGGCAGTCATAAGCCAGCATGTGAGGTAAACCATCACTTAGCCTTTCTTTTATTTTCTTTTTATTTTAGATGGAGTTTTGCTCTTGTTGCCCAGGCTGGAGTGCAATGGTGTGACTGAGAAGTAGAGCAAAAACAAATTCTGCCCCAGGTGCCCTAAAGTACTTGGGGGTCCACTGTGAGGGCCAGGTTATTTCCCATGGACCACAGACCCCTTTAAAAAGGAACTTGGGCTGGGCATGGTGACTCACGCCTGTAATCCCAGCACTTTGGGAGGCCAAGGTGGGCGGATCATGAGGTCAGGAGGTAGAGACCAGCCTGGCCAACATGGTGACATCCCATCTCTACTAAAGATACAAAAAATCAGCTGGGCATGGTGGCACATGCCTGTAATCCCAGCTACTTCGGAAGCTAAGGCAGGAGAATCATTTGAACCCGGGAGGCGGAGGTTGCAGTGAACCGAGATTGAGCCATTGCACTCCAGCCTGGCGACAGAGCAAGTCTCGGTCTAAAAAAAAAAAATAAGGAACTTGATATCCTGAACTCAGTCAGGCATTCAGCTGCAGAGCCAGCACCCCGGACTCTTCTTCCCAGTCTAGCTCCCACCCTCACCTGTTCTTCATTTCCTGAAGGGAAGAGACAAAACTTAAACCACTTCCCTTCCCATCAGGGCTGGGGGAGGAAGAGGCTTGTTCCTAAATGAAGACAAAGAACAAGGCTTAAGGGACACTCGAGAATCTTTGTCCTTTTTTCTCATTCATTCATTCATTATTCATTATTCAACTATTTATGAAGTACTCTCTATGTGCCTGACATTTTCCTAGGGACTGAGGTTACAGGAGAGAAAGTAAGACAGACATGGTCTCTGACCGCATGTCACTTACATTCTAACTGGAAGGAAAATGTGATAGGCCATAACGGGTAGATTTTTAAAATGAATGAGATCATTTAAAATCACAAAACCAATAACAGAATAATGAAACAAAGTGATGGGGCAGGGAAGCTTCCTCTGTCTGTTGTCCTTAGGACAAAGTCCAAAGCTGGAAAGGCTCCTCTCCACCTGCCCTTGTTTGCTACTCCAGCCTTATCTCCTGTCACTTTTTACCTTGAACTTGCCATTTCAGCCACACAGGACGTGGAGTATCAAGGCTGGAAGAGGCTGACCAGCCTTTGATCCAGTGGTTCCCTCAGCCCCAATCACTCTCTTTGTCCCTACCTCTTCCTCTTTTTCTCTCTCACCCAACTAACCCCTTCTGCCCTTTCCCAGCTTACTCATCATCTGGGTTAGGAATTCCTCTGTGACACCTTCCCTATGACAGCATCCATCACCTGTGCAGCTGTGTTAGTTGGCTGTTGTCCCCTCACCAGACTGTAAGTGCCTCAAGGGCAGGAGTCCTGACTTATTCACTCTGAATTCTGAATCCTCAGCAGTTGGCACAGTGCATAGCACATAGTAGGTGCTTAAAGAACACCTGTGGAATTAACTGACACTAACTTTAGTACATTTAAGAGCTCAGTAAAGAACCGGGTGCGGTGGCTTACACCTGTAATCCCAGCACTTTGGAAGGCCGGAGGTGGGCGGATCACCTGAGGTCAGGAGTTCAAAACTAGCCTGGCCAACATAGTGAAACCCCGTCTCTACTAAAAATACAAAAAAATTAGCTGAGAAGGCCGGGCGCGGTGGCTCAGGCCTGTAATCCCAGCACTTTGGGAGGCCGAGGCGGGTGGATCACGAGTTCAAGAGATTGAGACCATCATGGTCAACATGGTGAAACCCCGTCTCTACTAAAAACACAAAAAATTAGCTGGGCATGGTGGCGCGTGCCTGTAATCCCAGCTACTCAGGAGGCCGAAGCAGGAGAATTGCCTGAACCCAGGAGGTGGAGGTTGCGGTGAGCCGAGATCACGCCATTGCACTCCAGCCTGGGTAACAAGAGCGAAACTCCGTCTCAAAAAAAAAAAAAAAAAAATCAGCTGAGCATGTTGACAGGTACCTGTAATCTCCACTACTCAGGAGTCTGAGGCAGAAGAATCACTTGAACCTGGGAGGTGGAGGTTGCAGTGAGCCAAGATTATGCCATTGTACTCCAGCCTGGGCAACAAGAGTAAAACTCTGTCAAAAAAAAAAAAAAAAGCTCATCAATATGAGATGAAGGCACCTACCAGACAAGACATGGCTTTGGAGACAAAGAATACATTGGAAGGAAAGGGATATAACAATTCCTCAGTCCTTTCTGGAGCCCACATTCTAGTGACTTTCAGCTCCATGCTCTATCAGGCCTCCTACAAGGCTTCTTGGGCAGACTGAGCACAAATTATTGACCTCCATTCAACAACTGGGGAAGGTCATGCCTCAGAGAGGTGAACCTACTTCAGCTGAAGTTACCCAGCCAGGTGGTGGCAAGTGTGTTCGAAGAAAGTTAGAGACCAGAGACATCAGATCCAGCCCCTCCCTCTTGCAGGGGATGGGGTGGGGGTGGTAATCTGCAGACTCTGAACTAAGTGTTGTAGCTCATTTCAAACTCAGAATAACCATTTGAGGTAAATAGTAGCCATAACCACAAAAAAAGGTAGACACATGATTTGCCAATGGTCTACCCTTCCCTCTAACCCAACTGCTCCTGGGCAGGCTGTGCAGTTTGTGCCAGCCCCACTCCAAACATGCAATAGCCACACAGCCCTATGGCCTGCCGGCTGTATTGGCTTAGAGGTTAATGGCAAGGGCTCTGAAGATAGTATATGCGAAGGCTAAAATACTCCATCTGGGATGCTGATTCACCATGTTGATTTCTGATTAACCCCAGTTCCAGGAATCTAGTGTTCCTATGTAAGAGCATGTCCTTACCATAAATATTCCCCCTAGGTCAAAACAACCTTAATATTATCACACTTCAGTAGTCCTACACATCCTTTCAATAGGGAAGTCACCCTTGCCCTATGCTATATAAGCCCCGGGCTGAGGAGGGGTAATAGCTCAGGGATCCACTATCTCACTTCACAGCCACCTAAGACTATGGCTTCTCTGTGTAAGTCCCTAATAACTGTTTCTTTCTGAGACATTGGGTATGTCAGTTTCTTTCTTCAGCTTCTCAACCTCCTCTGACTTTGGTGGCGGGGGGGTAGGTTTACAGAGACCTACTCACAGCAGAACAGTATGTGTGGGTCAGAATCCTGTTTCTGTCACTTACCAACTGCATAACCTTAAGCAAAGTCACTTAACCTCTCTGTGCATTAGTTTCTTCATTTGCAAAATGTTAGCTACCTCATGAGGTTGCAGAGATTAATGAATGTAAGGCAGTACCTGGTATGGATAGGATATTGAGTGAATGCTGGCTGCTACTCTTTATGCTGAAGCTTGGGCCTTTGACATCAACTTGCCCAACACCTTGCTCCATAAATGGGGAAACTGCAGCCCAGAGTCTGGAAGGCACTAGTTTCACAAGCAAAGACTACAGCCACCCACCTATCCTCTTGATGAACTCCCTGTCTTCTGGCTGGCCCTGAGATCGAATTTGCCAATTATTTAGGAAACCGGCAGCTTCAGGGCCCTACCTGGGTTCTGCAATTTCTTCTTGACTGCAAAGCAAGGGCTACTGTTTGAAGTTGGCACTGAAGTGACGCAGGCTGGCCCTCGCTTCTGCTTCCACCTAGGCTCATCAGTTGGAGTGGCTGATTCCATCTTTGAGTCCGGAACCTGAAGCATTTACTCAGCAATAATAGGGCTGGCTTTCACTGTTAACTTTTTACAATCCTTTGAGTTTATTAACTTGTATTCTATCATCCTTGAAGACACAATACATCAGCATTTTTTAAAAAACCTCCTTTTGAGTCATCTTTGGTCTCTGCTCACCTACCAAATGGGTAAGTAGTGAGCTCTCTGTAGAGGTCTCTAACAAATAGGATAAAGAGGTTCCGAGTGCTCACTTGTCTGGGATGCAGAAGACCGGTTCTCAGACTGGAAGCAAAACTAGCTTATGATTCCTCTATAGCTTCTCTTTCCATCCCTCCCTTCCCGTATCACCCAGTGCAAATCATCTAATCTCCTCTGGCAAGCCTACTCAGCATAACCCGCGGGTCTTGAATCTTACTAGAAGACAAAATCAGACCAGTCTTGTGGGCTCTACATTGTCAGAACATGCTGACTTGAAGCTTTCCTTAATCTACAAGTCAAATAGTGTTTCATTTGACATTAATTTATTTGATAGATATGTATCAAGCCACTACTATGTATTAAGCTCTGTGCTGGTGCCGGTGTCTTTTTGGATCTTATAATTTAGTGCAGAAAACAAACGAGAAATGATGATAAAGTACACAAAGGGTTGATGTAGAAAGTGTCAAATTCTCTAGGAACTATAGAAAACCAAGGGGACCACCATGAAACTCCTTCCTGAAGACGTGACATTAGTGGGACATGAAAATGAGTAGGCCAGAACCAGTTAAAGGGAGACAACCTCTCTTCCAAGCAGAGGGAACAGCAGAGATAAAACCTGGAGGTGAGGGAGAATGGCAGACTGCAAGAACTGAAAAATATCCAGACGGTGGAGGCAGAGAGAATATGGAGAGTGTGGCAAAAGATGAAGAAGCAGATGGATTTTGTGGGCACTGTATGAAGTGCTAAGGAATTTGGACTTTAACCTGAGGGCAGTCAGAGCAGCCTGGTGGAGAACAATATCTTTCAAAACAGAGGGTCTCTGAGAATGAGTCAATCAAATGTATTTAAAAGGCTGTTGATGAAAAGATTGGGAAGTATTGTTTCATTCTCACTGTTTTCATTGTCATACTCTTTGTGCCAATGGTTAGACCTCCTTTGAAGCTGACTGCTGCATGAAGGCCCTTCTTAGTGGCAGGGCAGGCTCCCCCAGCCTCCCTACTACATTGTCCATGTCATCAGTTTTGTGCTCCTGTTTTGTATGACTCAGGCTTTCCTTATACCCTTAGGAATGAAAAACGAATGAAGAAATGAAGAGCCGCAGACACCACCACTGAGAGACTGTCGAAGTCCCTTGTTTAATAGTTGGGCAACTGAGATCAGAGAAGGAAAGTGACTTTATTATTTTCCACAGCAATCCAGGGGTAGCATCTCAGGTCTCTGGCTCCTTCTTGTCTTCCCCAAAGAAACAGACTACCAAAGCTGGGACTAAGGTGAGACAAGTAAGATACAGAGGGTGCAAAACACAGAGAGATGCCCACTGTCAGGTGACAGCCTGCACTTGTGTGACCCTAGGTGCCTTCCCTTCCCTCACCATGGTGGTCTCTGCTGGAAACACATTTGAGGGCAGGGACTTTAGCTTCTAGACAGCTCTTTAGCATCTCTCATGGTGTTAACATGTTGCTAGGGTCATATTTTGAGGGTCACTAGATGCTTACTGATGCTAATGAACAATGGATTTCTGACAAAATGATGCGTACACAGATGTTTATATCTTTGGGTAAATACGAACCTCAAAAGACAACAGAACAACATGAAGAGGGCCTGAGACTGAGATTCTGGTCTCCTCCTTGCCATAAGTTGGCTATGGGAACTTGGGTAAATTGCTCCTCATCTCTAAGCTTCAGTGAAATGAGGTGGTTGAACAGAATATACTGAGCACATACCGTGTGCCAGCCATTGTTCATATGCTCCCAGGCTTTAACTCATCTAAAGACTTCCTGGCCTCTGAGGTTCCTTCAACTTCAACAGCTGTGGTTTGAGGTGAGAAGACTTGGTAGAGAATGTACAACTTGAGAGAAATCTTCCACATTCCCATGGGGATGTTAACAGCTTTACTTATAGTAAATGCATGTTTTCTCAAAGCATTTCTTGGTCAGAAGAAAGTTCTAGAAGGCACTTAATTCTACGACTCACACTATCAAGGCTACAGCCAGGCCAACTGCTTCATAATAACCTTTAGAACATGTCTGAAGGCAGATTCTCAGCTTCTGCCCTTAGAGATTCTAATGCAGTTATTCCAAAGTGGGGTCCAGGAATCTGTATTAAAGGCTTCCCAGTTGACTCTGGTGGCCAGAAAGATTTGAGACTGATTACAACACATTCCCCAGCTGTGGACAGGATCATACTTAGACAGCCCAGCCCTAGAACTGTCTGGCCTGATCATAAGTGTTCCAAGCAGATTTAAAAAAAAAAATGTGATGAATAATTAAGTCAGCAAATATTTAACATCTGTTGTGTGCTAGGCCCTGTGCCATTTGGTGATTATGGGCCCTCTTCTCAAAGGATCCCTGGTCTCAGTCTGTCACTTAGTTTAGAAATGAGTCATCTAGCCAGAGTCAGAAGGGCATTAGAGATCATTACATAGCTGGGGAAACTGAGGCCCAGAGAGGGAATGCAACATGTTAAAGACTACACAGGGAGCAAATTTATTTTCTGCTTCCAAACAAGGCGGTTTGGCCACAGATAGGCCAAGAAGAATATGAACAGACAAGGCTAGCTGGGTTTCCCACTCAGTCTATTACTATTAGACTATTCCCTTT